ATACACCATATAATCTTCGTCAGATGCGATTGTATTGCGCCATGCTTTCATGGATTGCATATGTTAAAACTTTTCCATTTGTTTTCTGAATTTCAAATGTACATGCCAACGTATCAACTGGAAATACAAACAAGGACGTGTAGGCAAACACAATTAATATGGATTTATATGTCGCTTTAATTTAGCCGCAAATTATTATTTAACTGAGAATTATTTGTTAACTGAGAAAGTATTTCGGTGTCATCATTCCTCTTGTTTCAGTGACGCTGATGTCATCTTTATCTTTTTTATTTTTCAAAAGGACTGTGACGTTATGTTAACGAAGTGTGCCGCAATGGAAGCAGAGAGCCAGTATTCAACAGTATTAATTAATTGCAATTATAAACAGAATATTTTGAAATTCTCTATCGACCACGTGCACATTAAACGGAAACAAACAAGGATCTCTACAGTGTTGCTCTTCTGTGTACGACGAATCACTTTCAAGATGATATTTTGCAATAGTTACGACCTAGCGTTAATCGAGCAACAACCATAATACCACCAGAGTCCTTTTCAAGAAAGCGAGAAATTTAATAATAAATTCAACGCATAGAATCAAAATGACGATCGAATATCAATTGACCAATTACCAAGCCCGAGCGGGTGAATGCCATCGAAATAAATATTAGACAGCGTGTGACCTTTGAACACACTGATTTCCTGGCTGCTAGAAAATGAAATCGTTTTACAACTTAACGATGTGCACCGGCTGTGGTGAACATAGTGATATTATTACTGTAATAATAGCAACACATGCTATTTGGCACTTGATTAATCTAAAGTTGAAGCTTTTGAATACATTTGATAGGACCTACATTCTGTGTAAACATTGCGATGATTGAGGGAAAACATTGATCAATAATCATTATGGATAATGTACATTGCAAAATGGCTTCTACAACCAAGCTCTGGAAAACAAATTTACTACGTTTGATTAAAAATGTTGTCAATATCAGCTCTTAATGTGGGCTTATCGAAAAAGTAATATTTCCCTCGTCTAAATCCAACTCACATTGGTTGATTTTGAATGCAGAGAAGATATTCATAGAATTAGAGAAACTAATGTCGAGACAGAAATGCGATTATTAACTCTGGAAATAAACAAACCCTTCAGTGAGATTGGGTATATAATTTTCATGATTTGAATGAGATATTCTATTGTCATGTTATTAAGTAGCTACAACAGGTGTTTGTGGCGTTTGTCAACAAAGAAATTTTTCATCCAACATAATATGCCACGCGTAAGATGAGACGAAGCTAGGGTTCTTAGTGGGATGCGTCATATATAGTATATAATACTGGTATCTGGTTTCTTCCCCAGTGTTCGAACTATACTGAACTCAACCAAGGGAATTATTAATATTACGTAATTACGCCCGTATATAATTTCTGTTTTACCAACTATTAATTAACATTACAACGAATGTAAATAAATCTGTGAGTATATGGCGCTCCCTTTCAACTAACCAAAGCTTGACACGTGGCGTCGACACCGTTATGATGCAATTTATTCAAGGAACTCCGGGATCAAATGATTTAGCTAGATGGTTTCGTTCGCCCAACTGTGTCCCACTTCTTAAAAACGGAATCAAACTAACGCGGCTCACTATCAACACTCATGGATAACGTTTTATTAGAGATTGACAGGGTGTACACTAGACGTTTTACAAAATTATGGCACTAGTCTTAATGGATGCGCCTTTCGCAATTGCTCATGAGACTTTTCATTTAAATTTTGAAAGCAAAATGTGATTTATGAATTGAAATAGTTGCTATGATTTTGATTTATTATTTCGCGTTTATGTCAGCATTTTTTTTTACACGTAAAACAATGTTTCTTTTAATTTAATTTAATTTAATTTAACTTAACTTAACTTAAATAAACTATTACATAATTCAAAAAAGCTCTCACAAACATGTGTTATTATAGCAACACATCGGAAAAAACATTTAATGTCATAGGTCATCATAATTCACTCCAGCCCATATGTTGCCACTCTTATAGGAATGAGAGTGACATGTTTATTATTCATTTAAGTCATGCCACGTCGTTGTGCATACATTTATTATATTCGCAGTTCACTCTCTACACAAATATTACGATTGTACGAGTGGATATCGATTCACAAATGCCCATACCCAAAATTAAGATTAAAACACTTCCCCCTCAATCCATCTGTTGCCGTTAGTTATCATTGCCCAATGGCATTATGTATTGTTTGCTATTATAATAGGAGTATAAGTGTTGCCCGGGGTGTTACACTGATAATTACTGCATTGCATTTGCATATATGTCTCACGCTTTCAGCTTCAATTTCATCACAACATATCCAAATTGTGAGCGATTTGGAGTTTGTCAGAGAGAGAAATGATTTGGTTGAAACACATTGTTTTTCCCGTGAAGGAAAAAAAAGTTGTAGATCATTTTACATCTGCATAGTTTTCTTCTAATATTAGTTATGCATACAAGCGAATGACGTCACTTTGTTGTATTAATATGCGCTACTTGACTCGGTTCCCGTTTAGAGGTAAACAAAATAAAGGACCCATGTGCATTTTTCGCTGTTTTTTCGTGCTCAAGATCAGCAGAGAATTTTCAGTGTTTTAAATCGGAGACCAACATTAGTGGACGTAAAAGCGTATTTATTATCACTGCAGTATCGCATATATTGCCAGTCATCGTCCACCGAATCTGTGATTGACTGGCTGCTTCGTGGCATTGCATGGGCTGCCAAACATTCTCTGTTCAGTACCGGTGGAAAACCACGCAATGTCGCGTGAGGACGTTTACAAGCCATAACAGTCTTCAGGCCTCAGGCCTTTGCTGAAATACCTGCGTTATTTCTTGCAAACGACTTCCCGTTTGCCAATTTAGTATACTAGTATACCAATTTAGTAATAAATTAGGTCTGAGGACTGTGAACATTATTGTTAAGCCAGTGACGACCTCAACATGTATTGCAGAAAATTTGAAATATATGACAGTAGGAATTTGCGTTATATTTCCGTTCATTATTCATTCATTACTCAAAAAACAAACATAATGGAGAACAATTAAACGTAGAAAATGCAGAAAGGTACTAAAATCGTTTTAACCGTACCTGATATACAGTTGCAGCTGTTGGCTGTAAACTCGTTTGGAAGCAGCTGTTGGCTGTAAACCTTAAAAATGGAAATCTCTTAATGGTATTCGTATCCATGTACTCCAACAAAATTTCCAAATCGTATGCTTTTCAGGTACTATATCGCGAGATAACCTTTCCTATTAAGGACATTGAATATTGCCACTCTGCTAGCCTAATGTCGACGCTAAGCTATGTGACTGAAGTAAATGGGGATCATGCATTTAAAAATCAAATTTGCCAGAGTTCAAATTCCACCCGTGGCTGAACATGAAAAAGAGATCGACGCCAACCCTGGATGATTATTGTTCACAGACTGAATGGAGAGGCCGAAGCTAATGACTGCCCCTTATTAACTAACTGGCGACTTTAGGGAGCATTTGATATCAGTTGCTTGGCACATGTCAGATTTGCACCGGGTTTGCGCCATAAAATTACAAACACTTTCCCGTATAAAAGAGAAATGCACGAGTGCACTATCTGACTTACAATACGTCAACCACTGCACTTGTCAATCACAAACACTAATTGTATCGGTCTAAACTGATTTGAGCTTTGTTTCCATCGTTCACGTAACTGCTACGTATTACATATATGCCGCAATAGCAAGGGAAAGACGCGCGTAATCAAAATATAAATATTCATTACCATTTATTAATTTTGTAGCCATAATGTGTTCAATAAATATATGGAAGTGACAGACACGAGCGTTGACTTTGTATCTAGCTCGCTTTTGTATATAGATAAAGTCCCGCACTGAGTCAATCAGTCGGATAATGCCCCCGCGACAACAAAGAAATATTCACACAGTATTGACATATTCACCCGGGATATTAGTTCAGAAAACGGGACAAAGAAGTTGTCACAAATATGCCTAAAGCTTCACGACTATTCAGAATACTATATTGGTATAATTTATATATGCTCATCTGCCAAGTTCACGAGTCTTACTCTTGATTGCACATGTATATCCTAGATATAATGAGGTTAGAGTAGGGTTTATATATCATATACATAGTACTAAGGATCTTATATGTTATAATGTATGCAGGCTTTTATATTTATATCATGTGACAGATTTAACTGTGAGTTAATACTTAAGTATAAAAGTGGGTGAGTATAAACACCCAAACAACGACAACAGACGTACAAAACGCTCTCCAAATGTATATATGCAAAAAACAAATACAAATACACAAAAAAAAAAAAAAAAAAAAAATGCGGACTTTTCTGGTTTATTAAGTTCACGATAAAGTGTCTCGATTGTGTTTCGGGTAGAAGGCGTTCTAGTATTCACATTATATTCTATACGTGTCTACGCAGGCTACCAGTCTGTAGCGGATAAAAAAGATTCAGTAGTGTACAGTAAAACTTCGATTATCCGAACACCGATTATCCGAATTATGATTTATCCGAGCAAGTTTTCGAAGTACTATACGTTATTTAATGGCCGTTTATTTACGGAACAGGACTGTATTTTTTTTTCGCAGTATTAAGTTGATTTTGTATAGTAAGGAACACTTAAATCAGAGCGCTAAACAAAGGAACGCCGTGTAGCTAACCAATTGAATTGTATACTAATAACGCATACGTGGAACGTATTCAGAACGAGAACATGTGTGCATAGAAACGTATTATCCAAACGTTTCCATTTATCATCACCACTGCTGATGTATTTTTGTTTTGTTTTTCTACGCCATTCGTGATTCATTTTTAATGTATTTGATTCAAATTTTAGTATATAATGCTGATCTGTATAAACTGAACGAGAGTGCCATACGTCACCATAATCGACAGAGGTCAAAGGTGATCGCTACATCTGTTACACGTAACACTGCTGACAGCGAGTAGTAACACACCAATCTGCCACCATCATTGAAATATTGAGCAAACAATAGTGTGATTCCATTCGGCGCTTTCCCTTTTCCACGATGCATTTTCATCAGTCAGATGAGGCTTCCCGTCACAGACGAGACAGCTTTATCCATGCGTACCTGATCGTCTTTGTCAGAGTAATGGCATCGTTTAGCAGACTGTCTCTAGTGTTGCTGTTCGGCGTGGCATTGATGGCGGTGCTGAAACATCTCCGACATGATGTAGGCGTCGTCCCGGGCGACGACCGGTAAGCGTAAACCTTTGATTATTATGGTTACTAGTCAATGTGTATAAAATGACCTTAGTGTTAAACTGTGCGTATTTGCGTGAGTTGAAAATGAGAGAATTCACAGGATGTTAGAATATACTGGAACATGTTCGTCAATTAACTGGCACCAACGAGTGCATGTCGTGATTTCATGCAAATGTGCGCGATACCCATACGTGCGGCATGCTAAGTTTTAAACGGCGCGATTTACATAATTACAGGGTAGACCTAAATTACGTGATGGTAGTAAAACAATATGGCATTAAATGAGTTAAAGAAAATTGATGTGTACATGGGAAGGCCGTTACACTAAAAATATACCCGAGTCGTAATACAAAATGTAGCTGCAGGGTACACGTTTACACTGTAAATATAAAATTTAATATGACATTTGAAATTTGGTGGAGCGTGGTTTGTATTATATGCTGTATGTTAAATGCAGCAATATCATACTGATGTCTAGCTAATCTGAATATTCAATCGGCGAACATATTACACGTAGTAGGGTGAACATCATCCATTCCATACATTCCATACACTCGGGGTGAAGCGATCGACCATGATTTCAAATTTCTAAAATTAAAACTGTGTCTTAGATACGTTCACAGAACATGGTTCATGGAATTAGAGGTTGGTGGAGAGAATAAATGACACACATTTTTACGCGATGTTTTGCAAGTACGAGAAACATCGTATTATCATGTTAAACTAGTTTTATTGTAAGTGTCACTTTGTTTTTCAATCTTTTGCAAAAAAAATAGTCCTTTGATCGAACGGATGTGTGACAACTTAAACATGAGCTTGCAAATAATTGAATTGTCTTTCATAAATATTGTTCATTTCTCTCATAAAGTACGCAAGTACAACTTAAGTCATTGATGATCATCAATCTAAATTGCATGAAATGGCTGGTTTCTGTTCAATACAACTTCAAACTTATAAAACTAAACAAAAGATTTAAAAATTTGCAGACAAGATAATTTGTCTCGAGACGATACAAATGTTTTTACAACATTGTTAATTGGTTAAATGGTGAGCAATCTATTTTGATTATCTGATTTGCAAAACTTTTTTTCACCAATTTTGCCCTATATTCACCTACCCGGCGGGCGATAGCTAAATCTTACAACGCCGTGACAAAATTAGTCATCCAACTAATTTATAATTAATATTATTATACTTTATTATATGAAAGTGTCACTGCTTGATTTCTGGAAATGATAGAATCATTGTTGCTCCTGATCTACTGTGTATATTCATGTCCAATCAGCACGTCGGTATGTGCGACTTAGCATATATAGCACGCCACCAACGGACGTATTATGATGCTCAATTAATAACGTTTATATTGCCATTTTGAGTGAATTCTCGAGGGGCGGACATCCGTGCATTTTCACCGCATGGCAACCATCACGGTGAAAACAAAGGCCGAAAACTCTAAGAAAACGGTACTTTGGGATGTTTTTTGAGACTCCACCTGAAAAGTGTAACAAGATTACCCCTGTATGTGTAACGCATATTTGATTGTTCAGGAATACTTCGAAGTTGAGTTCCTGTTGTTTTCTCAAATTTTCATCGGCTCTTAGATTGTCGTTTCGCGTTTTTCAGCAGCGCGCGCAGAGCCCAAAGAAATACGTCGTACAGTGGTGCTCGTCTTAACAACGTGGAACGTCTTGTGACGTAGCTGTACCCCCGAAGATATCCCACCGCTCGTGATTGCATCAAGCCACGTTAGGCGTTTTCGAATTATTGCATTTGTTAGTTTAATTATATTACACTCAATCACTTGGCCAGATTATATACTTCACACTTTTAAATAGTTCAATTATCGCGCTTCATTTACACTTGGCAAGTTCTAATTCGACTGGTCAGAGAGAACAAATAAACTACTTTTGAAATGAAAATTTAGAGGTCTGTTAATTATTTGTAGTTTCTTCTAATGTCGACTGTATTTGTTTCTTATTTCGTTTATTAGGAAAATGCGTGTATTTGGAGAGTACGATAATAGTAGCAATATAGCATCAGATTCGAAAGGATTCTGGCCGCAGCCCACGTCCGACGTCGAAGTAAAACCGTATATAATAGCGGCGGATCGCGTAATGGTTGATGAAATATTCTTACGACACCCATGGTTACAGAAAAGATCCTTTATGCCAAACTACTACACGACGAGTGGAGTCGACGAAAGTGTGTATAAGCGTCGAAACACGTCAGTGGCGTTTGTGCACCTACCGAAGGCTGCCGGAATCACCATGAAAATGTGCTTGGATAAACTAGCGAATCGTGCATCGGAACGCAAACCGTTGCGAATGAAAGCGGGCACGAAAGAATATCCATATGAAGACATGCCAAAGCAAAAATATTACGTCAGCGAATTTACGTTCGGTGTATGCGATAGTCTAAACGCGCCGTGTTCTTACTTCACTGTTCTCAGAGAGCCGTATGAGAGACTGATCTCTTGCTACCAATACTGCCGAACTCAAGATTTAAAAGATCCGATTTGCATGGCAGGAAACGCGAGAACCTCGTCAGTCAACGAATGGGCAGTACACCAAGGCAGCTACTTTTTCAGACAACTGCTGTACAATTTCAAAGACGCCTGTTTCCAAACAGATCTATATGATACTATAAAAACTTATTTTGATAAAGCACACTACCGCGGTCCCAACTACTACTGGCCGCCTTGCTGGTACATGAACAAAAAGCTTCTCGATAGAAAACTAGATAAAGACGATAAGGAAGCGCTACTCCAGTATGTGTTAGACAATTTAGAAAACTGGTTCGGCGTGATCGGGATTGTAGAAGACTACCCGATTACATTGCGGTTGCTAGAGCGCGCATATGGACAACCTTTCTATTCCGTTTGCGGGGAACTGGAAAAGCATAAGAGTCATTACGCGAGTGTGAGCGAGTCGACGGAGAAGCAGAAGTACATCGATACAACAAAAGCAGAACTTGCTGCTGACAAGGAAGTTTTTGATGCTCTGTATTACGATTTGAAGATCTATGAAAAGGCTGTTGAGATATTCGATAAACAACAATCTGCTTTCCTCCGTGCCGAAATTGAATGAATCATATTAAGTCACTACCCAAACTTGAAAATTGTTATTGTTGAGTGAAAGACGTTTTCATACTCGCCATAGAGGTCGCCCTCGGCAAAAAAAAAAATCATGACTTGCATGTGCGTAGTCTCAGATTCGCCTACTTAAGTAATTTCATTTATGAAGATAAAGTAATTTAATGTTGATTAATGTGACGCAGACGTGGTTTTATCAATAGTCTGTAATTAAGCACTTTCGAGTGTGAATCGCATCTGCAGGTTTGACAGAAATTGTTGAAAAATTGTAATCCATTTATTTGAACGCGGTCACTCTATTTGGTAACTAAATATATGTTATCTCAAAAACACATTCATCTACAGAAATTTCAAATGAATTGACTCCGACATAGATTATTGAAAATTTTTAGAAAATTAATAAAACCGTGATAATACGGGCTGAAAACAAGATGCGTGGAATATTCAGACACCGTAATAAACAGACCTCGCGGAGAGCGAGAGGACGCGTTTGCCACTCAAAAAATTCCATTCTCTTCCGTTATCGCGTTCACTGTTTCATTTACATGCTACTGTGTAAACATGGTATTCGGAGAAATGGACGGTAGAACGAGAACACCGTTTAAGTATTGAATGTTTTTAGGAACACAACATTTGCGATTGTGTGGATAAACATTTACTTTTGGCTTTTTCATTACAAAGCTTCCTACAGACGCAACAATTGTATACACTATTGAAGATATATACATTATGCCTACCTTGTAATAATTTCATGTAAAATAGAAGTAATAAAATGCATTTTATACAAATATTATCGTTTTTGTGTCATTTCACAGTAAAATTATTAAAATTATTTTGTATTTATTTAAATAACATTTGAAGCGACCCACAAATTGTAATCAAGTAGTCGTCATGTGTTCATCTCGGAGGTGATGAAATAACATTTTTAGTGGCGAAGTTGGAGGCTTTTGGCATGCCTCGTGAGTGACTTTTTCTCATCATAAATAAGTTCCTAAATCTCACATTTTAAAACAAGTCTACTCAACTCGTTATTCCTAATAGCACGAGACATGTGCGCTGTTTGAATTCAGATTTTAACTTTATTTTACACTGTTGAACGCCAGGAATATATATATATATATATATATATATATATATATATATATATATATATATATATATATATATATATATAGTCTAGATGTGATGTGGGAGTAGATTATTCCAAAACAAAAGTGCTCAATACAAAGTATATGTAGAGCGAATAAATGCGGTAATAGAGGAATTAAACTGATTCAACGAAAGTCAACAAACTATGCAATTGTCAGAAAAAAACGTCATGTCCACTGGACGGGAAGTGTTTGCAGTCCGGTGTGATATACCAAGCGGAAGTTACGCGCTTAGACAAACAAACTAGCGAAACGTACGTCGGTCTCACTGGAAATGAATTCAAAACAGTACAGAAACCACACTGCCTCATTTCGTAATCAGGCCTCTAGAAATGCGACAGAACTAAGTAAACATGCCTGGTCACTCAAAGAAAAAAATATTGAGCACAGAATAACATGGAAAATTCTTGCTCGTGGTAGCCCGTACAGTAGCTCCAGCAAACGATGCATTCTATGTTTGAAGGAAAAATTTATAATAATTTTTAGACCTCACCACTCCACACTAAACAAAAGAAATGAACTCGTATCATCATGCCGACACAGATCAAAAGCCTTGTTATGTAACACTTAAACCTGTATGTATTTTATTTTTAATTAATATGTTAATTTGCAAAGTATATATATGCTCGTTGGTGCAGTGAATTAAACATAAAGCTCCTGATGAGTGAGGTACTTGTACCTTACGAAACAGTGCTGTCGAGTTTCAATATTCATGTAGTTGTGTATTAATTCCTCTATTACCGCATATATATATCAGTTCTTTTAATTAAAATTATTGCATTTTTTTGTCAGAGCGCCCTCTAGTATTTGTGGGGAATCATGTTTATTTGGCATGCTTTGATTGGAATGAAGTTTGAGCCTAACAAGGTCTGATAGAGTTGGCCTGTTATGATTCAAATAAGCATGAACCACTAATTTGACAGGGAAGTGATACTTATGATGCAGCAAGCTGTTTTAATTGCTGTTCTGGTTGAGTTTTTATATTTCACTGTCAAATGCAGTTATTTGTCTACTGAAAAGTCAAAATAATGTTTCCCTGTAACTTAGACTCTTATTGATCAAGGCATTTTTAAAATCACGAGTGTTAACTCCCTTCAAGTTATGACCCGTTGTCCCCCATACAATAATGGTTGTATCTAATATTAAAAAAAAGATGGCGAACTATAACGTTGATTCATCTCGTTCTACTCTGGATTACTTGGAGCAAATAAAGATCCGAGAAAGATAGTAGTTATATGCCTGTGTGGTTTTTTATACTGTCATTGACTTTCACAATATGTTTGTTGCTATTGACAACAATTCCGTACTTTGTAATGCTTCAGTCAATGTTATTCGTCACTAGCTACCCAGTTGGTGTGGTATATTTAGCACAGACAGTAGGGCAAGTGTTACATTCAGTGCTCCAAGAAAATATTCTCTGTCCATGTGTATGTATATATATATATATACCTGATAGTGACGAAAGTCAACCTGATAGTGACGAAAGTCAACTTTCTGATAAAAAAAATAAATGTGCTTAAAAAAAATGTTTTTCTGACATTGAATCAGTGGAAGAGATGGTACGGACGGTAAGATTCTTCTTATCTCCTACTCTCAATCCCCACAACCTTCTTGTGATGCACCCTCACACGTTTATGCAGGTGGTTATCATTTCTAAAAAAATAACCTTTAATGGACGGACGTTTCGGCTGCGGACGTTTCGGCGCCGGAACATTCACAAGACATTATCCTAGGAGGTTTACCACAGTTGGGTGCAAGTGTCCTAGATAACGTCATCACCAATGACGAATTAAAGAAAAAAAAACGCTTAAACTTTGTACCCCTGGCATTGATGGAATACCTTACGAATTAGAAATCAGTAATTTATCAGAATTGAAAGAAGAGGGACAATACTCTTTTGAAAAATTGGCGCCCTATGAGTCATATTCATTCTAATCAAAGCTGTAATATTCCAAACTGTCACATTTATTATAATATCAAATTACGACTGTATTGATTACTCAAACATTAATAATTCTTCTTTGAGTATTGTCGCCCCCGATCAGAAAAAAAGGAATCATCATGATTTTAAACTTTCAAAGCTTTTAATTATTGCCCTGGTTTTTATCATTTATAGCGGTCTCCTATATTTATTCCAATGCACAATCAGTAATTCAAATAAACAGCGCCCTCACGCCACTTGTATCGCTTTCACAGGACACACGTATGTTATTGCCATAGAGCAATTACTCGATAAACTCATCAATTGATTGTAAAATCAGAAAGTTTATAGGTTAGTTGCTGGCGGAATAACATCATCTTACTTTTGGGCATTAAATGGAGCAACTCGGGGTTGAAGCTGGTTGTATTTTGGCAATCTCCAAGCTCAAGTTTTTACCGAAAAATAAACTGGACGGAACTTACAAAACTTGCAAAAATACGATAATAAATAAAAGTTCTGAGTTCTGATCTCATTTTGCACTCAGTATATCCTATAAATGGCCTTAACTCGTTGTTTAAAACAATTTATCGTCACAATATAAATTTCACAGCTTATCCCCACTACCAAATGACACATGGTCAGATACCTCCATATTTGAGTGGAATAGCCCTATCATATGCAGTGCGGGTGAGATTATATGCTATACTATTTTATACTATCCTTTGTACAGGTGATCGTAGTTTGATATACTTAGTTTAATGCACAAAGTGGAATTACCCTAACATAAGCAATATATATGACTCATTACATATATTGAAATATCTCTCGTATACCAGGTACAGGTGATATGAGCTCGAAGTCACTCTCCCCCCTTGGTTATATCCCCGCCGCTCCTATTTCGGTTTCCTTGGGTTAATTATTGTTTCAAAGTTGTTGTCCTGAGATATTGTCCGTGTCGGATCTTGAGTGCAGACGCATTTTTGATTCGTGGATTATCTGCCGCCAAAATTGTAATCGCCAGCGCGCGAATTTCGGACACTTGCTCAAGTTGAACGGAAACTATGTCAACAACATGGTTGCTGATTTCCACTGATTTAGTTTGATGTGTATAAGCTTTCAGAAATTGACATTTGCTGAGTTTTGTTATTTTTCTGTACGAGTTGTAGTGAATATTGTGACGTCATTATGACTATTGCCATATAAGGAGTTGCACGCAGATGGTAGCTGATCGAGACTGTACTGGTGCAGAGCATGGTACTGGCTGATAGTTTGTACTGTGACATTTGTAAAGAGACATATGATTGCTTGTTTTCACTGAACTGTAGAGATATGTTTATGCATTGAGTGCTGTTTCAGCCACGACTGTGTAGTAGTAGGTGTGATTTATGATTAATGTTGCTGTCGATGTATTGCAGTTGGCTGATCTTGCATTGTACGATTGCTAGTTGTTTGATAATATACTGTTCAATGCTTGAAAAAAGAAGAAAAAAGTATGTATACGATTCACCAAGACTAATTTCATTGACACTAACAATTCACGAAGGAGTAGCCAACATTTCAACAGGCCCAGAAGATAGTGTAGACCTTAATACACTTTGTTTTCGATTACTAAAGAAATAATCGTATTTACAAATCACTAAACATTTGTAGTTGTCAATTGGGTGCGGGACAATCTGGTGCCATCAATTAACATACAGTAACATCTTTCAACTACTTTTTCTACATCCTTTCTATTTCATTCATTGGTTGCTTATTTTCCCTATTCATAAAGTCTAGTCTAAAACGAGTGGTATTTCAAAATTTACCTGACCAGAGTTCATCAGGTCCAGAGGACAGAGACATAGAACAAACAATTATCTATGTTGTTAATTTTCAATATTAGCAAAATCATCTCGTCTCATCCTCTCGAATCTTTTCACTCAAATAATCAAATAATAATTAGTATCATAATCCAGTGAGTAGTGCTATTATCATTATTATTTCGAGCAATGCGATATTTAAATCAGATAGATGTGATGTGAAGTATTAGTATTGCTATAAAGTAACTCACATGTAATGCGGAAAGAAAAATATGATCCCACACCATTAACAAGAATTGACTGCGGTTTCCCGTTAAATTCAGCCCAACGTTCCTATATCATTGGTAATTCAAATCATGTCTCTAAGGGATGTCGGCAAATAATATATGGAGTATGGAAATCTGGTTCTGTAAATACATGGGTGAAATCAGTTAAATCACACGTAAACCCACAGTATTGAAATTAGTGGAGACCACTGTAAATGACACAGTACACAGATGCCGACGCTGGTTCTGTCGATTACACTTACAACACATTTTGTAATAAAGTATCAATATCACCATATCTTAAGATTTATTTAGGATAGCTTCCGGTTTTCTTCTCTCCTCACAAAATCAAAAAGGCATTCAGTCAAAATTGCCGTTGCTTATTTAACAAATATGCAATCTGCCCACATGCTTCTCATATTATCATTCAATGATCACCGTACGCCACAAGTTACTTGAACACGCAAAACATAATAGTGTTCATCGATTATGAATGGTATCTCAAAAAGATGGAGCGACCTAAATTTTACTCAATATTATTTTTCATATTGTATTTATTGCATTTCTAAATCATAGTGAAATGGTTATGTATTATTATAGATTAAGAGGAGCTCGGTTTTATTATTCGCAAGTTCGCACAGGTGTGTGGTAATC